AGTCATGGAATCAAAATAACAACATTGTTATTTCCTGGATCTTGAATTCAATATCAAAAGTGATCTCTGCTTCTGTCATATATTTGACTACTTCTTCTGCTATCTGGAAGGAACTCAAGGAACATTTTCAGCACAGCAATGGTCCGCGTATCTTTCAAATTAAGTGTGATCTGATGAATCTAACTCAAGGAGATGATTCAGTAAGCACTTATTTCACTAAATTGAAGGTTCTATGGGAAGAATAGTCTATTTTTGAACTTCATTCACCTGTGGTTTGTCTACTTGTGGAGGAGCGAAGGACATCGAACACACTATGATGTTCTTGATGGGATTACATGAGAAGTATGCTCAAATTAGGGGAAAATTCTCCTAATGGATCCAATTCCTATTATTAATCGGACTTTTTCTCTATTAATTCAGGAAGAACGTCAAAGAGAGATAAGTATTTCTTCCATCAATAATTCTCCCATTGCTTTCAATGTTCAAAGTAACTCAAATTCAAATCAAAGGTTTGAATCATTTTCAAAGAATCGATCATCTCCAGTTTGTTCTCATTGCAAAAGATTTGGTCACACTGTTGACAAATGTTATAAACTCCATGGTTTTCCACCCGGTTATCGTTCTAATCAAGGCAACCCACATGCTAATGTTGTTTCTGATCAAGCTTCTATTCCAGTCAACAATGTCAAGGAGGATAATACAAGTGATTCCATTACTAATCTTACCACACAACAATGTCAACAATTAATATCAATTCTTACAGGCCAACTTGCTTCTATTAAATCTGTTACCGCTGCTGATGACAAAGAATCAGGTACTCATTATGTTCTTCCTTGTGAGTTTGAAAATTACCAATCTAACATTTGGATTTTAGATACTAGATCAACTAGACATGTGTGTAATAATAAAAAGGTTTTCATAAACCTCAAATGAATCTTTGGAACCAAATTTCATTTAACAAATCATATGCTTATACAAGTAGAATATATGGGAAATATTAAGATCAATGAGCATATTGTTCTTCAAAATGTTTTATATGTTCCTCAATTTGAGTTGAACTTGATCTCTATGTCCATGTTAGTTGCAAACAAGATGATTAAAGCATCATTCTATCACAATCGTGCTATTGTGAAACATATATCAACCAATAAGCAGATTGACACTGCTAGGGTTGAAAGTGGACTCTATTTTCTTTAAGATATGATTGAAGAAGTTCCTATTCATGCTGTGTCTCTTCAACATTGGCATCAAATACTTGGCCATCCTGCAAATGAGAAACTTAAGTTCATTGATAGTTGTTTGTTTTCAAATAAAGATTTGAATAAACATGTTTGTACTGTGTGTCCTTTTGCTAAACAAAAGAGATTGAAATTTGTCTCTCTTAATCATGTGGCTGATAAACCCTTTGATCTAGTTCACTGTGATATATGGGGTCCTTATCGTGTATCTGATTATAAAGGTTTCAAATATTTTGCTACAATTGTTGATGAGTGTACAAGATTCACGTGGACATACTTTCTTAAGCATAAATCTGAAGTACAAGGAATTATTCCAAAGTTTTTTGCAATGGTATCAACACAGTTTAATAGCAAAATCAAAGTGTTCAGATCTGATAATGCTAAAGAATTAGCATTCACAGAATTTTTAAACAAGGAAGGAGTCATTCATCAATTTTCATGTGTTAAGAGGCCTCAACATAACTCGGTAGTGGAAAGAAAACATCAACATCTTCTTAATGTTGCTAGAGCTCTTTTCTTTCAATCTAGAGTTCCTACTTCTTTTATGGTCTGAATGTGTTTCTTGTGCCACTTTTCTCATTAATCGAACACCATCTAAACTTCTCAAATTCCTTACTCCATATGAGAAATTACATAAATGCCCTCCTGATTTTTCAAGGTTTAGATCTTTTGGCAGTTTGGCTTTTGCTTCAACCTCACCTAGTTGCAAAAATAAATTCACACCAAGGGCAAGATGTTGTGTCTTTATTGGTTATCCTATGGGCATGAAGGCTTATAAGTTGATGGATACTGAAGCAAAAGAAATTTTTGTTTCCAGAGATGTTACATTCCAGGAGGATATTTTTACTTTTACACATTCATCAAAAAATCTTTCTCATAATCCTTTTGATTCCATAGTTATTCCCAATTCCTATAATATAGATGATTCTTTTCAAACAGATTAGGAATCTTCTAGTTCTTCTCCTGTTTTTTCCTTACCTCCACATCCTCAATCATCTTCACCTAATTCATCATCACAATATTCTGAGCCATCACAACAACCTACAAGACCAATTATGTAGACCACCATCCTACCTCCAAGATTATCATTTCAATCTTATCAATAACATCATTGTGGAAAATGGACCAAAATACCCTTTATCGGATGTTGTGTCTTATTCCAATTTATCACCACAATACAAGGCCTACACTCTTTCTATCTCTTCAAAAATTGAGCCCAAGAATTACAAAGAAGCTTCTCAATATTTTGCTTAGGTCAAAGCTATGCATGAAGAGTTGCAAGCATTAAAATCCAATCACACCTGGACCGTTGTTCCCTTACCCTTTGACAGAAAACCACTAGGCTCAAAGTGGGTTTATAAAATCAAAAGGAAGTCAGATGGCACTATTGAGAGATATAAGGCCCGTTTAGTTGCCAAAGGGTTCAATCAGCAAGAGGGCATTGATTTTTTTGGACACATTTTCCCCTGTGGAAAAAATGGTTACTGTCAAGATCTTATTAACTTTAGTTGCTCAAAGTTCATTGCCTCGTATTCAATTAGATATGAATAATGCTTTCTTGAATGGCGATTTAGATGAAGAGGTTTATATGCAATTGCCCCAAGGCTACACTCCTTCAACCATTCATTCAGCCTACAATACTTTGGTTTGCAAATTACATAAATCTTTGTATAGCTTAAGACAAAAGTTTTCTTCTTTCTTAATTTCTCAAGGATTTATCCAATCAAAAGCAGATTATTCCCTTTTTTATAAAGGAGTTGGCAAAAATTATGTGGCCTTATTAGTCTATGTTGATGATATAGTCTTAACTGGAGCTTCTATCTCTAAAATTAATGCCATTAAAGAGAGCTTAAGCAACACATTTAAGTTGAAAGACTTGGGCAAACTTCAACATTTTTTGGGATTAGAAATTGCAAGGTCTGCACACTGGATTTTTCTTTCACAAAGACAATATACTTTGAAGTTACTTGAAGATACAGGTAAATTGGCAGCTAAACTAGTTCAATACCCAATGGAGCCTGCTTGCAAAACTTCTAATTTTGAGGGACTTCCATTACAAGATCCTGCTTGCAAAACTTCTAATTTTGAGGGACTTCCATTACAAGATCCTGCTTCTTATAGACGTTTGATTGGTCGTTTGATGTATCTAACTATTACATGTCCGGATATCATCTATGTTGTAAATCGGTTAAGTCAATTTGTTACAAATCCTAAAGTTCCTCATATGCAAGCTGCAAATCATCTTCTCAAGTATTTGAAGTTAAATCCTAGACAAGGATTATTTCTTTCTTCAAATAGCTCCTTGAAGATTCGTGCTTTTTTTTATTCTGATTGGGCAGGATGTTCAGACACTCGAAGGTCAATGATTGGTTTTTTGTGTTTTCATTGATGATTCCATGGTTTCTTGGAAGTCAAAGAAATAAACAATTGTGTCCAGATCATCAACAGAAGCAGAGTATCGAGCCCTTGCTGTTACTACAACTGAAATCGTTTGGCTTCATCATTTACTCACTAATTTTGGGGTGTACCAACATGAACCAACTGCCATCTTCTGTGACAATGAATCTGCAATTCAGTTAGCTCTTAATCCCACCTTCCATGAACGAACAAAACATATAGAAGTAGATTGTCACTTCATTCGTGATAAGATTCTTGATAAAACAGTGAAACTCTTACCTATTCGAACAACTCATCAACTTACAGACATATTTACCAAGCCCTTGCCACGTCATAAGATGATTCTGATTATGTCCAAGATGGTTCTGTACAACATTTTCCAGAGCTCATCTTGAGGAGGGGGGGGGGTTATTGGACGTCATGTTGACTTTTGTCATATTGACTTTTTGTTATATGATCGGTCTGTTAGAGTTAGTTACTCAGGGCTGTTAGAAGATGGTTTATTCACAGTTAATTAACTTAACTAGCATTAGTTAGTGGTTAGATGATGAGTTAGTAGTTAGTTAAGTCTTTCTTAAGTCTTGTACTCTGTATTCATTGAGAAAGTAATTCAATACATTGAACATTTTGGTTCGTCTCTCTTGTTTTACTCTGATAAGAAAATAAGAAATAAATTCTCGGATTTTTGGATACAATTACATATAAGAAAGATTCACTCTAATCATATACAAATCACTAAAAACCCTAACTCTCACAATGATATATATATATATATATATATATATATATATATATATATATATATATATATATATATATATATATATATATATATCTTTACTATATTATTAAGCATATTGCCTATTTCTTGAAAATTAAGAGGTATACCTATTATAACGTCATGTACAATCCTATTAAGCGCATAATGAAAACGCCTGCACATACTCTTTTGATCGTAACTGATGGTCGTACCTTCTCCTCTATTTAAACGTGGAAAACCCTAATTTCATCCAAATATCTTTGTCTCTCTAATTGCTCACTTCAGTCTCTTCTATCTCTCTATATATCATCTTTTATTTCAGTCGATTAATAGGCATTGCCTCCCTTATGTTCCCCCCATTCTCCATAAACCCTACACTCCACTGCCACCACCACTCGATCTTACCGTCATGTCGACCCTCTGTAAGCTCCACTACCTCCGTTGGATGGTTTGACTTCCCGACCTCTCTTCTTCCCCCGTTACCGATCACATATGAACTTGCAAGAGGTATATCTCCTCCTCTTTCTACTTTTTAGTCACATACAAACACACACTTCTATTTTGTGTTTAATTTCAATTTCTTCTCATGATCATGTGAACCCCAGTTTGGGTTTTTTTTCTTCTGAAGCACAGAAGGTGGCCAAAGATGTGAAGGTTTAGTGGAAAAGGTAATTCCGCCCCCAATTTAATGTATGACTACTCCTTCTTCTTTTCTATTATTTCATATGACTGCTCCTTCTTCTTGATCAAATAGAAGAGATGTCACAAACCATCCCAACACCAGCATCACATCGTAAAGAACAAACCCATGGAATAATCTCCTGATTTCATGATTTCAAAGTGCCTTACATGTTCATAAGGATTTCGATAACTACTATGAGGTAATTTTATGTTAATACTCTTAAAGCTTTGCTTAGTTTTGTTCTAGGTACCCTTTTTGGTAAAATGATTATCAAATACCATCATTATCTTTTGGATGTTATTGCTTTTCACCAGGTATGTTCAATGGTTACCTCTTTTTCATTTCCAGGATTTAAAGATCTACTGCATCTTGAGTTTCTTGATTAGGTTTGGTTCTTTCTATAATTTCTTTTAATGTGGTTCTCTATCAAGAATGTATCTTATTCTTCTAAGGATATAAGATAAAGAGATCATGTTTTATTTGGATACCTCACCCTTTTTGATGGTTTGAAGAACTTTTCAGTTGCTAGGAATTTTGTATTAATTAATTTTTGTCAAAATAAGGTCTTATTTTCATTTTTACAGACCTGATGTGTACGTAGTCTTTGTGTTTCCACTTGTGGGCTCTTCAGGTATGACTCTTCATGTTTTCTAACTTTGTGATCTACCATATATACCCTTGGATTAATGATCTTACTGTTTTTAGGGATAATTCTATAACGATTTGAAAGGGTTGATATTCGACAACCAAACTCTTTTGAGTTTTCTTTTGTCTAACTGATACCAACTCATGATTCTATTTTGATCCAAATAAATGCAATTTCATCTCTCCAGTACATGGTCTGTGATCTTTAATTATGTCATTATTATCAAGCATCCGAATTTATTATGATATATATCCACCAAATAAACAAATTATTGAAAACCATGTCATTTATAGTATGTTTCTTTTAATCTGTGAGGAACTAAGAGGAATTACCCAAACTAGAAGTATTTTTGAACTATTATCTCTTCTCTTTTAAGATTTTTATGTTTAGTTTATTTTTTGACTTTGGGTTTTTGTTGCTGTAGTAGAGGACGTATATTGAAGAAGAATGAGGTATGAGTTCCATATTTTGGATTTTCTTTGCTTCTCTGTCACACCATCAACCATCAGAGAACTCTTTTTTTGGTACACGTACGTAGATATGCCTCTCTCATCTTGTAAGTTTGAGACCTATATCCAAAAAGTGGGCTTTGTTTCTTTTGAAAATGCTATTTTCATTTTTAGTTTAATTTTCATTTTTTTTGATTTCTTTAATTTGTGAGAAATAGGAAAGGAAGGTTCATGTTATCTTAGTACATGTAACTGTAATGTTTACATTTCTTGCAGATTTCGCAGCAATTATGCCCTAACAATGTTTTTGGTCCCTAAGGTAAAACTCAGATCTTATTATTCCTTTTACTTTTCTGTTTCCTCTTTTTAAAAATCAAATATCAAATCTAAATATTTTATTTTGGTAGATTGTATTATTGAAAAAAGTTGTATGTCATTGCATTTATTTATTTTTGGGAAAGCTACCTATCATCCATTATTGGATGGGAAATTAGAAGAAAGTGATAATAGATTTGTTGGAATCACCTGAACGATATGATTCAATTCATCTGGCTAAAAGGAGTTCAACTATTTGCTCTTAGGATTAAACAATTACATTTTTCATGTACAATAAAAACGATTTTTTTGTTTGATATGGTGTTGCTTTTTTCCATGTAGGGTTATGAGAATCAACACTTAGAGAAGACTGCGTCTCCTTCTATATCATCACTTCCATTAAAAATAAACCATCTGGTCGTTTATTTTCTTATATTATGGTGTTTTTTCTTCTAGATTTTTAATGATTTTATGCTCAATATGGATTTATATGTGGTATTATCATATGTTTTGGTTTCATAGGTTCGAATCTAAGTTTAAGGCTTCAATTATCGGTTTTTTTTTAAGGAATGCACTTTTTACATATAATTTATAGATAAATGGTGCATGTGCTCATATGCATCTTTGATTAAATTTTATAAAGGCAGTAATGGATTTCTATCAATTCTTTAAATTTGATCAAACATCAAATGTTGTCCCCTACTTAGCCTTATGTTTGAATCTTCTTGAAACTAAAGAAGAAAGTAAATGTTAGTTTTTGGAATGGACTTAATATTAATATGCTTGATTATGGTGATTAGATTATAATTGTAAATACTATTAAAATTTTAAAAACTCTAATGAAATGCAAGAGACAAAATTAAGAAAAGAGAATTAAGTTTGTGTTTGACTGTTGGGTTTGCTTGTAGGAACGAGGTATACATCAAAATACTATCACTGGAAATACCTTTGGGCTATCAAGCTTTTTGTAGTGGTTTCACAAATTAACTATTTTTGTATTTTTAATTCAACAAGCTAATGATTTATTGAATTTTCATAGTAATAATGACACACGACATAGTTAGAATAATAACTACTCATTCAATTACTTATAACCACATAACATATATAATCGGAATCTACTAGAAAATGTTTGCTTAAAACCTTCAACAATTACAACATATATAATCTGAATCTACTAGAAAATGTTTGCTTAAAACCTTCAACAATTACAATCAAATACGCATCTGTAATAAGTCATGTTACAAAAAAAAATTGTCGCAAAGATGCAAACCAGACCGATAACAATATGTATCTTCATTGTATTCTTTGAAATATCATGTTTCTGAATTAAACAAACTGTCGAAAGAATCTAATTTGTTGTCGCTTACAAGAAAAAAATATAGTAACACTCTAATCCAATCTATTTATCTCACTATAACTATTTTTGGAAGCGAACCAATAATAGCATTGCGTTTTCAGTTAGTTTTACAAACTGACAAATTATAGCATTACTTTAAATTATTTGAAAAACTAATGAGTTGTAGCATTGCACTGTCATATAAAAATTAACCTGTTATAGTATTGTACTTCCACTTTTCTTCACAAACAAATCACTTGTAGAAACTAATTTTGAAAGAAATTATTGCACCCGTCGCTTGGCGCGGGTAAATAACTAGTATATATATATATATATATATATATATATATATATATATATATATATATATATATATATATATATATATATATATATATATATATATATATATATATTCAAACTATCTATACTACATATCACGTATAGAAGCTAAAGAGTCAAAAAGTGATTAATGAACAAAACTAGAAGACAACAAATCCGAATATCTGGTGAAGATAACTTCTAGGGTTTCAGGGGTGGAACTTGAAAAATTAATTTGAGGGGGCCGAAAGTAATAAAAAGAAAAATTATCATTCTTACACATAAAAAACCAATTTTTTTTCAACAATTACCCACATGTATGTTGCAAAAATGTGACACAAAGAAGTATAATAATCAAACAAAAGAATAAAAAGGCTAAGGGTAGCTATTGTTCATTCTTGAGAAAGAAACTCTGAGATTGAAAATCGAGATGTAGTGCATACTGCAAGGATACAAGCTTACAAAGCTTCAACTTTAGACAAATCTTTAAATAATCAGGCATTTCCTCATGCGATAGTTAGATAAACAAAACATGTTAGCCCAATAATTGCACCTTTTATTATATCTAGTGACACTAATTTGGTGGAAAATTTTGCTAAAATCAGCTCTATTATCAGAAAATGGTTTACCTATAAAAGTTTATATTCAATAAGTTATAACAAATGAGTTTACAGCTCTGATTCTTGATTCAGTGATCTCACATGGTATTGGTGGGTCATCATGTAATCTAATAAGACGCCTGTTCATCGCAGTTGATCTACATCTACCAACCTCATTTTCTTCAATGACTATTGCTTTACAGTCTGATGTAAACATTGTAAGTATAAATTTTAATTTTCTGAAATTGCACAAGCTTTCTAATTTTTGTTACTCCTGTCCCAAAGGAATCCAAATTTGTTTTTTTTTTTTCATGCAATGTTTTTCTTTATATTTTTTACACGGTTTCTTTGATATGCATTCGTGAAGGCAGCCCTTCTATACCCGATGCGTATAAGTGAATAACTCATCTTTACTCAATGTATTGTTGAATATCCAATGGTTATGTGAATTTTCTTATGTAAATTTAATAAATGAAGCTTTTTTAGTTTTATTGTTCTTGTCCTTAAGTAGCTGTTTAGATCTTTTAGATTTTAACAGAAAACTAAAAATGAAATAAAAATAAAATAACAAAAGAAAAGAAAGGGTAGTAGGAGTTTTAGTTTTTTATTTTAAACAAAATTTTGGTTTTTATGTATTTTTACAACGTTAAATTAAAGCTAAACCACTTTTGTCAAACATTTTGCACAAATAAAATCTTCCGCTACTAGGTCTCCAATTTGCCGAAAAATGTTATCCTATGCAGAAAAATATTATTTTACGACTAAGACAAGCAGGCTTGCTTTCGTTTTATATTATCAAGTTACTTTCACGATTTTACACCGATCCATGCAACATTACTTGTTTATCCATAAAATGTAACAAACTTACATTTTTTACCATTACATAAAATGGTAAGAACCGGTATGTTAGTAACATTAAATGGTTAAATTTTGCATAATGCTATGTATTTTTATAAATTTAGGTAAAAACCGGTATATTAATAACATTAAATGGTTAGATTTTGCATAATTCTATGTTCTTTAAGTTGTATCATTTGCATGAAATAGGGTATTAGTTTTTATATCATCCATGCTAGAGGAGGAACTTGGACTTTTGGCATAAAGCATTTGACTTCTTGTAATCAAAGTCAAAGTCAATTTATTATGGCTATTTCGGTGGAAAGATGCCCTAGAAGGTGCACTTCTCATGGAACATGTCAAAATGTTGTCGAAATGAGAGGATTTTTACTCTATACGTATCTTATTTCTTCATATTTATTTAAAGGATTAAATGCAAGAAATAACAATGTACTTTCATTTCTTCCCATGAAAGCATTGTACTTTGAAAGATCTATCCAATTATAAAAGTTTCATCTGCATGCAAAGAAATTTTCACTGCTAAATTCAGATAGATTTGTCAAAGTATAATGTCCTAATAAGAAAAAAAATTGAAGTCAATGTCAAAATTTTCAAAATACGTGGCCTTGATTAAAAAAAAAAACAAATTGAAAGTACAATGTTGTACTAGAAAGAAATGAAAGTAGGATCTATTTCAGCTAATGTTTATGTGATCGCACCCATGGAGGCTTTGATTGTAGCATGGAACTTGTATCCCATGGAGGTAATTTATATATTCAAATTAAAAATGAAAAATATATCAGTGTTTTTTCTTAAATGGGACCCACCCGGAAAATGAAAAACGTAAAACAACCAAAACAGACATTATCGGAACACAAAA